CAGTTGACAAAATGTTGCTGGGGAGACCTTGCATCCAAGTGTCTTTAGGTGCTATTAGTTCAGCCACAGAGATTATAACAGAGTCCAGACTCTCCATCAGTTTGGAATGATTTCACTGCTTGGTGATGGTTGAGGAGGTGCAATAAGTGTTTGCGTAGGGATGCTGGCTGGTGCTTGTTGCCTGGGGCAAGGTGTTGCCGCCTCAGGGTCTCCACATCACCTGCATATTAGCGCCAAGCAGGTGAGTGTTGCCTCCTGAGCTGGGGAGCAGCACAGCTCACCCCTGGCAGCATCCCTGCCCCCATCCCAGCACCCCTGGGAGCATGTGCTGTGGTCTTGGTCCCTGCTAGAAACTTGCTCTGCTGCAGGGTAGCTTGTACAGCAGATTGTTTTTCAGGCAGCTTTTGGAGTGTGAGCATTCCCAAGTGAAAGTGCTTGCGTCTTTCTCAGAGGTTGCTTTCACTGATGTAATTCCCTCTTGTAAGGAGGAGGATGATGATGTCTTTCACGTTCTGACCCAGCGTGGTGGAGGTAACAGAACAGCAGATGAAGGGGTGCTTGTTCAAAACACATACAGATTGAAAGCTGTAATATAATATCACACAAGGGAATGTAATTATACAGATACAAGCCTTTTTTTTTAAGTCAAGACATGTCCTGTTGAAATTCTTGGTTTGAAGTGTTTGCCTGTTTATTGCATCTCTGTATAGTGGTGGATGCCTGATACCATATCTTTTCTGGTATGATTTGAGTAGATTGTATTTCTTGCCCCGAATTATGCAACCTTAAGGAGTATTTTGAGGCAGGCCCAGAACTTGGTGGGCGCTGCTGTGCGGGTGTTTGCTGCACTCCTGTGTGGGGTTTGGGGCAGCTGCCATGCAGAGTGGCGGCCTCTCCCGGAGGGAGCTGCGGAGCCCTGGAGACGCCCCTGTGGTGCTCGGCGCTGTCTCCATGGCGCCCTGTGTCCTGGGGGTTCCGACCACCCACCTTGGCCTTAGAGCGGCTGGTGGCACCGCAACCGCCCCGGGCGAGCAGTGTGGTGCCCCCGCCACTGACCGTGCAGCTGGGTGTGGCGCGGGGCCCCGCGCGGCTCTGTGGCCCTTCCAACAGGTTTGCAACACTGGGGATCACGCAAGTGGGGGCCCCAGTGCTAATGGGCCGTTGTTGCCTTCTGGCTTTCACTGAGTTACAGGTAGTGGTTAAAATATAAATATACTGCATAAGGATGTAAAACTTAACCTGAAAGTGAGAGGCATATAAGTTTAGATTTTTTGTGAAATTTAATTTATGTCTGGACCCAGTTTATAAAGTACTTGAGTATCCTCACCAGTATTGGTAGGATGCTGTTGTATCCACAGTTACATCTGTTGAAGAGAAGGATTTATTAATTATTAACCTTTTTAAAAGCCAGAAAAAAACTTATATGTATAAGTTTATACTTTAGCAAAGATTTTGAACATAGGTTTTGAAGGTAATTTATTTAGTTTTAACAAGTTTCAGCTTATTAAATGTGGAAAGGATGTGACTTTTTCTAAATCTTTAGCTAGTTTTGGTATTTTGTATTTTTATTAAACATCTTTCTATTCTATACAATATAAAACCTTTTCTTGGGAAAAAAAAAAAAAAGGCAGAATTTTTCCGAAGAAAAGCTCTGCATCCTTTCTGTGTTTGTTCTCATGGGAGATTGCATTCCTTTATGTTGGGTTCAGTTGCGCTCACAATTAGTATTCATTCACTATAGAAAATATTAATTCCCATTACAAAGCATTTAGAAAGGTAACAAGTTTCAGGCAAAGCATTGAGAGAAACTGACTGATGCAAATCGCTACACCTAGGAAATAAAAAAATCTTTCTCATTTCACTTATTCAATGTATCTATTATCACTACGAGATGATATAAAAAATAAACTTTAGCAATAAATTCATTGGCTAAACATACAGAAAAGTAACAAATGTTTCACGTACACACTTGAACTTGACGAAGAGCGCACGTAATTTGTCATTTGTAAGGACTCTTTTAGTCACAAAAGACATTAGGTCTTCAGTCTAATTATTGCTGATCCTGACTAATCACTGTTTCGGGGATTATATCTTTGGTGTCAGCCATCTGCTGCAGTTTAGAGTAATAAACTAACTAAACATAATTAAGATTTTCTTGATTTGACAGCAAAACAATACCTCTAGGAAGAGAGTATCCGTTTGTTTCAAAATTTATCAGAAATGCTAATATTGCAGTTTTTCTGTTTATGACATTTAAAAAGATAAAGGCTGAAAATGGAAAACTGCCTATTCCAGACTGTCCCCCTTGTCTTTCCCCTTCCGCCAAGGACGAGCTTTTATTACGCTCCCCATTGTTATTTGGTGCTGCATTACAGATTTGAATGGACGATTACATTAGTTAAAGCTTGGAAGTAGAGTTTTTTTTTCTGTTGATTCAGCAATAGTATCCTGCCATTTATTAAACAAACAAGGAATGTTTATAATTTTTTTAGCTGTGTTTATGCATGAAATAACTAGAGGGTGAAATATCTAATAATGTTTTCTTACGTTCAAGATAGAAAATAACAATCCTGAATCCTTGAAATCGAGTAGTTTTAAATGGTTTTGTTGGGAAACATTGGTAAGATAGAACTTTCAACCCTTAGTTGCAGTCCTGAAATTCATCGAAGCTTGAAAGAAAATACCTTCCTTTTACTAATGATTATTGTAGTAATGTCATATAGATATACCAGTAATATCAGTAATATCAAGTCTTAAAAGCATACATTGTTATATTAGTTTGTCTTTATTGATCTCTACGTTCTGAAATAGTACACCTTTTGTAGCATGAAATAATGCTTGTATTTGCAAGTGATACAGTCTTAAGCAGTGAAATGTGCTTCTACTAATTCCTTGTAAAAAATTGTAAGATTTAGTAGAATGAAGTGCATATTCTTTATAGTCTTCAGTGACCAGCTTCTACTGACATTAGATGTGACAGCTTACCTGAATTACAATCACAACTGAATAAAAATCGATGAAGTGTTTCTTTAGCTGTAGACAGAACATATTAAAGTGGGGAAAAGTTTATATTTAGGAGTTCTCAATTTAAAATTAGAGATTTAAATGCTTAGTAATGTTTTACCTTAGTAGGTAATTCTGAAGTAAATTGTTCTCATTACTTCTGCTGTTCAATTAAGTAGTAGGTAGTTTTTGTACTGTGTCAGCTAGTTGAATTTCTGTGTTTGCAGATAGAATGCAAATTTTCTCCTGAATGAGGAAGAGTTCTATGTGATAAATTGTTCTTCAAAGAATTAAAGCGGTAAATTCTTTCAGTGTTTTTATTTGTGAAGAGACTGCAGTTTACATAAAAAGTAAGTAATTCCAGACAGTGTACTGAATTTCTCTCATTAGCAGAATTTCCAGTTAGGGAAATTAATACTTTTCTCCACTAACAGAATCCAGCGACTTGATGCTTTCCATAGATAATTTTTTTTTTATATGAAACTTTAGTTTGATTTAGAATTAGTCATTTAGTGAAAATGGATACATTGTACCATCCAAATACATGTTTTTCTGTGATTGTTTGCTTTAGGTACTTCCTTCTGCCTTTTAAGATTCATTCAGAAGAACAAACATAGATAAACAAATTCTGTGTATAAGGATACATAGGTCTTGAACTTGTTTTCTAAATAAGTGTTTGGAAAGTCATTGATTTGTGCGCCATCAGAAGAGCTGTTTGATACATTACTTTTCATTGATTTTAGATTGATTAAAATTAATTTTTAAAAGTGTCTTGTGCACATTGTTCTTAACCTTTTGTAGCACAGACTGCTACAACTGACAGTGAATTCTATTTAAATGTATATATGCAATTTGTGTATGTATAGTATGTATATATGTAAATGTATATAAACATATAGTCTCCTTCTCACCTTGCTGCTTGTAAGTGTGAGAAAGGATGGTGCATTTGAAGCTGAAGGAGACTCCAGGGTTTTCACTGTTAGCTAGAGTTAGCTTTGATTTGTCTCATCATTCCTGAAAGAGTAAAGTGCCACTGAAAGAGTAAAGCCCTGCTTTACTTGCCCTCTCATCCTGGCATGGCTTCAGCGTCAGTCAGTTCTTGCCATTTGAATCGCACTTTGCTACAACTATGCTTAGGCATCCATTTAAAATGCACAAGTCAATGAAATAAGCCCAGTAATTTTTACCTAAGTAATTCATGACAATTAAAGTGCCTTACAGAAAAGAAAGCCTTACAGAAAAGGGTGCCAGCATGTTTCAGGGATTTTTGTACTTACAGTATCCCACCATGACAGGTGTGTCTTTCCCCAACTTTAGAAGATGTGGCTTTTTGGCAGGCTATGTAGCCTTGTTAAAGCTGGGCCCTTGCTAGGGACCAGGAAGAGCAGGGCCAAAGAGGATGAGCCGGGAGCCCCTGTGAACCCAGAGCAGAAGATGCCCTGCCCGAGGAGGGCACGGCCTGTTGGGCAGCGTTGGGGACTGGTACTGGGACCTGATGGTCCCAGTGAAGGTGAATGGTCAGGGGCCATCCAGAAGTCTCATCAGGAGCAGGAGAGGGCTCTGACGATGAAGCTACAGTATGGGTTTGAGGGGTCTGAGATTTGGACTAGAGACAAAACTGGAGTCAGACGCGTGGACTCCTTAGCTCAGGTGGTGCCCCAGTCCTAAGCTGAAATAGAGCTCCTGGTCAAAGGGTGTTGGTGCCAGATGAGGCCAGTCAGGGCAGTTGAGGCCTGTTGATGTCCCCAAGGCCTTCACAGGATGTTTCTGATAGCAGGTAGTTGGGGGCTCTGTTGTGGGAAGGCCTTGTCAATTCCCTTTCTCAGTTGTGCCCAGGGTAACTGTTAGCCTGACATAACGGAGACTGACATAACATAGGTCCCATCTGAACATCCTGATAAGAACCACTGGCAAGTCCATTGCTGTTCCTGAGACAGGTTCTCTTGGTGATTTCATTACCTGCTGTAGAAAATAGACATTTGTCTTTTTTTCTGCAGATATGGAGTCTGGAGAGCGGATGTCGTCATCATCAGCTTCCTCTACTGCAGCTACTTCGTCTCCAGCCTCTTCTACGCCTTCCATAGCTTCAACAGCATCCAAGGGTGGCCTTTCTGCTGGAGCTGCATCACAGAGTTCCTCCCTCAATGCTTGTGGTAAGCCTCTCTCCATTACCTACTGCAACCGCATAATCCACAAAACTTCAGTTAAAGATATTCCACTGCTTTTCAAAGAAACTTGATTCTTTTCAATAGGGTAGGTAATAGTATAGTCTCCAAACTGAAAAATTCTGTCTTGTAGAACCCACAGTGTTCCTAGTATACTTCAACAGCCTGGAATTGTTCTAATGTTTGCAGTTTCATGGGAAGATTAGAATCCAGAATTTCTGTGTACCTACAAATATGTCTAAATAATGTATACTTTATTACTCAAAGCAATAACCAGCCCAGTTTAACTGAAACTTGAACAGATGAAAAATGGGTTTTATTTTTCAGTATCCACCACCAGAAATTCAACCCATAAAGATTATGTGTCTATGTTTAATAGACCCTAGCATTTGAAACTTCTGTGGTGGTTACCCAGAATGTAACAGGAGTTACATTTCCTTATGGCTATAAACTTAAAATCTTAAACTGAGCATTTATGAGACTTACTTACTTCTCCTCTTTTGTACGTATTAAAGATCTGATTTTAAGTGTAATATCATAGAATCATAGAATCATAGAATGCCGAAGGTTGGAAGGGACCTCAGAGGTCATCGAGTCCAACCCCCCTGCTCACGCAGGGTCACCTAGAGCACGTGGCACAGGGCTGCATCCAAGCGGGTTTTAAAGATCTCCAAAGAAGGAGACTCCACAACCTCTCTGGGCAGCCTGTTCCAGTGCTTTGTCACCCTCACAGTGAAGAAATGCTTCCTTAAGTTCCTGTGGAACTTCCGATGCTTCAGTTTGAAGCCATTTCCTCTAGTCCTATCCCTGCCCACCACTGAAAAGAGGCCGCCCCCCTCCTCCTCACTGCCTCCCTTGAGGTATTTATACACGCTTATCATTTTTATATAGACTATATATTTTATCTAACTAATTCCAGAGAGGACAGACAATGTAATTTAGATATTAAACTGTCAGATTCTGTCTTCATCAGGAAATCAAGGAATTCCTTTGCTTAGATAAAAAGTATGAAGTAGAGTGAACATTTGAGTGTACATTTGCATTTAGTTAACTATTTTTTCATTTTATTTTCAATCTCTTTCTGAAAATAATTTCATTTTTATCTGGCAACAGCTAGTTTTTGTTTCAGTAATTCCCAGAAGTCATGAATTGTTACTTTTGTTTTTATTTTTTTAAACAGTGAAATCCTTTTCCTGCTGCACCTGACCTTTAAAAAGATCTTGGACCTTTTGTATTCTTAAAAAACATCTTCTTTCTGTCCCGTTCCATCAGTTTTGGAATGTCATTTTCTTTCTGTCCTGTCCCATCAGTTTTATTTAAATATACATCCCTTCCTCCACCTGGCATAGTACGCTATGCCTTAAGATTTAAAAGGACTCTTCACCTCCACTTTGGAAAAATGTACACAGTATTAGAAAATTTTCGCAAAAATGTTTATATTGTCAAGAACAGTTGAAGACTTGTTCTTATGAACAAGACCTGTGGCTGGAATTGCAGTTTCACTGAGCCAGTACTTCATTGAACTTGCAATTTAGAAAATTACTATTTCTAAGGATTAGAAGAGCAAAAGCATCTTAATCTGTGCCTTAGATTAGAGAGATTGTTTTTATTGTTACTCATAGCACTTGTTTTCTTTGCAGTAGTGAATGCTCTGTCCAGTAGTCTCTGTAATAAACTTTGTTGCCTCTCCTGTCAGGTTCCCAAGGTACATGGAGAGTTGGAGCTCCTTGATGCTATGCCAGGGAGTTTGTGTTCAAAATAGATTACTCTGATATATTGTCAAGTCAAACAAAGTATCTATGTGAAACAGTTATGGGAAATACTACATCTATGTATTTGGGGTTAGATGGAAACAGCGAGGAAAAACTTATTTTAACTTCTAGTTAAAACTGTTAAGAAGTTAAACTTTTTATACGAGTTTAACTGTTAAGAAGTTAAACTGGTTTAACTTCTCAGTGTTGTATAATGCCTAAATAATTGAACCATTCCAATGAAACGGATAGATTACTTGCTGTCTTCTTATTTACCCATTGGTGAAAGTAAGAAGGAACATTGTAAGAGAAAATTAATTCTGGAAAGAGGTTTACATTGATCCTTATGAAAGGGTAGCTACTCTGTTAGACTCTAGAGCTTTTTTCACATGCTATAAACCAGTATTACACCTTTATGAGGGGCCAGAACCCTCTAATCTTGAATCTACTGTTTCTCCTGAATGACTCATGAAAAGCTGGATAACTTTGAAATGTGAACATAAGTATGCAAACGTACAGTATAGTTATAAATTATAAGTTAAAGAATTTTTCATACTATTTGCTTACTTGTGTTAATCTTTTTAATTGAAACAATGTTTTTGTTTGCATGTCTTGATATAAAAAAACTTTCCTTTATTAAATTTTGATGAAGAGCAGATCTTGTGCCTAAAATATAAAGGATATAAATTGGTTTCACATTTAGAGATCTTTCTCACTCTTTTTCTTGTCAAGATTTTGGTCTCAGGCTTGTAGGTCTTTTTACAAAGTTTAAAAGAAAAACAAAAACAAAATTTTTAAAGAAAGATGGGGGAAGAGAAGATACTAAGAAACTTTTATAGGCATAACGTGAATATTTCCATGCCTTTAAATTCTGTCTAAAGATTTGATACAATGATAAATAAAGTGATAGTTTTGAGTGCTTCTTGAACATAGAATTTTAGCTTTATTTGTAAGGTAAGACTTAAGTGGAAATCACTTTTAAAGAAAATCAGTTTCAGTACGATGATTTTTGGATGTTAGAGTTTTAAAGGAGGATGTTGTATTCAAATAACAGAGTAATTATATTAAAAGGCATCAGACATCTTGTATTAAAAGAAGGCTCATCAAGAGTAGTTGATATTTTTGAAAACAATAGTTCACTAAATCAGTGTTCTGCATACATTTCTTCTCTACTTTTGTATTCTGCATACTTGTGCCTTAGAGTGAATCATCTTCAGAGTTTGTGTCTAAGTTGCATACTGGTTTTCAAAATAACAATGTTGTTAGTTCTTTTTGAAAATTTTCTTTTAGAAATTTAATCTCAGTTTTGCTTCTTTTTTAACCTATGAATTATGAAGGCAAGACCAAAATTACGTCTTTGGAATTGCATATTCGTGTTCTCTCCTTACATGCTTCTATGATGACATGTTAAGAGTTCATTAAAACACTGAACACTTCTAATTGTTCTTCAGTACATTCAATATGATAGCCAGAGCTTTGTATCTCATTTAAAGCAAATATTTGAGTATTTGTCTGTTCATATTTTTTAATTTTTTTTAGCCAGTAGTAGCTAAAGTAGATTATCATTACATGGGTTTATACAGGTGTTTTCAGAGATTAGCCATGATTTCTAGCTTTACACTGGGTGCATTCGCCGGTACTATGAAATCATGCATACAATTTGGAAGATGTAAAGACGGATGCTGGGAGGCAGGTAAAGGACAAGCTTTACTAGCACCATATTGATTGGAAAACACCAGGAAAGAGGAAAGCACGCAGGAGTTTCTCTCACATTAAGCATTTTTTTAGATTCTGTGGGGGAGTATGAATGCCTTTGACATTGCAAAAATATTTGGTAATATTTGTATTTCATTAAGTGATTCACTGATGCTTTATATTTTAAGACATTAAGTATTTGTTCCTTCTTGAAGCTCACTAATATTAACCAAGACATTCGTAGTTAGCGCTCTGTGTTACCAAGCCCCAGTATTGTAGAAACTGATTCTGGCCTTTGGAGCAATATTTTGCTCCAAACTCCATTGTTTTTTGAACACAGAATGGAAGTTTTAATTACTTTTTTTTTTTTTTTTTTTTTTTTTTTTTTTTTTGTTAACCATTTAATTACTTTATTGGGTTATAAAGTATGTTTCTTGTCATGAACTTTGGTGGACTAAACTAAGTATATTTACTTTCTATATAAAAAAAAAAATCCAGGCATGTACTTTATTTTGGATGATTCTTATTCTGTATACCTTATTCCTGTGGTTAGCATTAGACCCTTTATGAACTTTGGATTGCTTACAAAAGAAGTATTTGGAAGCTGTGAATTCTGCCCGTGTTGTATTCACTTCTGTTTAGTTCAGTGCTGTTAAAGTTGCCAGACCAGATTATGCTATTTCTTAGACTGCTGCGTGCTAAGTATTTGTGCAAGGGTAAGACTTAATGGAGTTTCACGTGAAGGTATTTTTCAGAAATATTCCACTGTTGCTGTGTTCCTTGTCACTATATAAACCTGCTCTCCAGTAAGAGGTAACCCATAAGTTTGAGAAAACCCTTTAATCTTTTCAAGATAGCATTTTTTTTTATAAATTGAGTGTATGGAATAATTGAAAAGTAGTTTCATGTAAGAAAATACATTTGTCATGTTGTTCTGATTTTGCCTCCATTTGCTCTAAGAATTGTTGAAGTCTTATTAGCATTAATCATTTTTCTAACAGGTATTTGTTTCCTCCCCCCCCCCCCCCCCCCCCCTTTTTTTTTTTTTTCAGAGGGATAAAGCCATAAAGTAGGTAGAAGGTTGGTTCTCTTCGCACTCCTTGATCTGGCTAGAAACAGTGATAGTTAGATACATGATTATCCTAGAAGTTTAAAGCATGCCTAGTATATATGCAGCACTAATGGGAAATACATCATCATAATATCTAGCTAATACTAGTTACAAAAGTCCTTCCAAAAAGTTGTTCTGTGTTATAGACGAGACAAGCCAATTTTCTCATCTACCATTTATTGARTAARCTGGGTACAGARAATAACAGCGCTGGGGCAGCCTGGAGACAATCCCTCTCAGGCTCCCATCTTTCSTCTCTTGGGGCTYAGTATTTATAGTATATAGTCCTTCTAGTCCTTTCCTTCTTCCTTTCCGTGATCTTTGTGGCATCCCGATGTTATCAGCAGTCTCAGCATCCCAATGTTATCAGCAGTCTGGATGATCCTAGATTGTTTCCAATGTTCCTTGATTGTTTCCATTGTTATCAACAA